TTTTTTTTTTTTTTTTTTTTTTTTTTTTTTTTTTTTTTTAATTCCACTGCCTTTTGAATAAGGGAAACTACCGCTCATCTGGAGGAAAATGCTTACAGAAATAGTGGATTTGAAGGGCATTGCCTAAAAAGTTGCCCTTTTGGCACATAAATGTTTGTCCAGCTTCAAATATGAAAGCTTTCTGTTCTTCCCCAGAGGGCAACACCAGGAAGGCTGGTTGCAGTGGGCACTGGCTTCATCAAAAGAACAGGTAGCACTCTATACTGCGATACAGGTTTCAATTTTGCACCAGCCTGCTGCATCCAAGTACAGACAGGGTTTCCATGCACTTTTCCTTCTGAAGGAAGCTATATTGTGCTTTTGATATCCCACCTGCACACAGGGTTACAAATTAGACTTGCTCTCCCATCCAGCCAAAGAAGGGGCCAACAGGAGCTGTGCTGTGATGTGCCAGAGTGACAGTGGAGACCCCCAGCTCCAACGCCTGCCTGCCAGGCTGTGCTTGACTGCTTCATGGCAGACAGTAGCCATTTGCCAAAGCTTATTTTCTTGTGCATGCTACAGAATTGGCCCTATAGGCACTGGTAGCAGCTCAATCCTCTGAATCTTAAATGAGAGGTGAGTCTTAAAAGTACAGAAAATACTTTACCTGCAAGAAGTAGGTGATACTTCCTCCAGAACCGGTGTCTCTGTCAACTGCCTCAATCTTAAAGATACTGCTGCCAGAAGGAGAGTTCTGTGACCAAAACCAGATACTACAGTGAGACAGAAGTGGCAAACCAGCAGAACTACAAGAAGTGAAAATGGAGCATGTAAGGAGACAGAGAAAGAGTGCCTTAAGTCCGAACTGACTTTGGCCAAACCCCATAAGAATGCGAGTTCGTCCTCCACATCTTGTGACTTTACTGGAAGCACACCAGCTCGCTCTTCTTTACATTCTACTGAAATACAGTATGCAAAGAAACTTCACCAACCTCTGGGACTTGGACTATGTAAGGTGTATTGATAAACTCTGGGCTCTCATCATTAGCATCCGTTACAAGGATCCTCACTTTCTCTGAAACCTGGATTGGAATGTGAAGAACACATTATGACTGGAGCTGATTTACGTGAATCTGTTCATTTTCCTACTAACGTGTGGCCAAAGGTAATGAAAAGATGTATTGTAATACAATGTCTTTGCACTAACAAAACAAAGCATATAAAAGAAAAAAAAAAAAAAAAAAAAAAAAATCAGAAAATCACAAAAGCCAGAATAACTAGCCGTGTGGAGAACACCCAGGTATCTCTAAAGTGAAAAAGGAGTCTTAAAGCACTTCATAGGTTATAGATTGGGACTAACTTACAAAAGTCATTTTTCTTCTTTGTGGCATTCAAACTACCATGATGCATTTTATGGGAATTCATCAAAGACCATGTAAAAGTTGGCACCTGACGGCCAACTGCATTAATTAATATCTTATTCAATATCATCCGACTGGGTCAACAGCGTGCAGAGTTTGCATGTATGAATACACCCTTTTAATATTTAACAGACTATCTGGAGCAATCTGCCTTTTTAAAAAATATGGAATCAAAATATATTTGATCAGCAGAACTTCTCAGATTTCTCCAGAGTGGGCACATGGATGCGATCCCTTTAGTAGCTGTTTACAGAAATGGTGAGAGCCATTGTCTCTGTAGGATGTAGTTGTACCCCAAGCATAGGATGATCTCACTCCCCTTGTTTGAGATGAGGAAGATCTCTAGAGTTGTCTGGTTTTGGGGGTAGTTAGAGGGTCATATTTTTGTGGCACCTCCAGAGACGAAGCCCAGGTCCTTTTACAGGCAGTCTAATACCTTGACCACCAGAATATCTATCAGTAAACTAAAAATGCCAAGGAAAATTAAAGAACTAGGACTGGTTGCTCGTGCCTTATATAAGACCTTAATCATTAGACACGATCAAAGCTGTGTTCAGCAGCAGACAAGAGAACCACCTTGGCCTCAGCCAATCTTCTTAACATCACACCAGAGAAACACTGCAGAGGTGGAGGCCAGTCAGCTTTTGCACATCCAATTCTGTTTCCGGTCCTGTTACAGTTCTTGCAAGAAAAAAAAAAAAAAAAAAAATAAAAAAAAAAAAAAAAAAAAAAAAAAAAAAAAAAAAAAACAAAACAAAAAAAAGCCTTCAGTTCTTTCTTAGTTACACGTCCCACTGAGCTGACAGTGAAACTTCAGGGGTAGCTGAACACATTTATAAAGCAAACTGCAAGTACAGACCAGCTAACGTAGATGCATTCTGGCCAAAGTTTGTAGTCATGAACAATAGTAGCACTGCAGATGAGGCAGCTGACACAACCCCTGACTCCTCATGGCCATATGGCTGCCTGGGCATGCACACTCTCCTTTGCCTGCCTGCAGCTCCAGACAGACGCAAGAGTGCAGACATCTCCCTGTTCTGCACACAAGTGTGAGAGAAAATGGGTGCTCTGGTACTCCTTTGACAATAGCGAGTGCTTTTCTTTACAAATGAGCAAAGCCTAAAGAAAATCTTAGTGCTAGACCTGGAGGTCTTCATCAGAGTGGTTTTAGATATGTAACATTTTTTAGCTGATAAGAAGTTGTCCTTTTCCCCACGGGAAACACTGATTAATAATCATCTATTTGTTCTATTTAATTTCCTTCAACTGCAATTACAGTTTAAAAGGAAATGTTTAAGCCCACCACAAAACATTCAGTCAGAGAATGCATCAGTTTTTGAGTTTTCAGTGAAACAAAACTGAACTTGTTTCAAAAGAAACTGTTGTTACCAAGCAATTCTTACTCTAAGCAGAAACGTGCTCTACCATTTGTGCTGCACATGAGGAACGCGGTAACTCCTCACAGAAAACCACACCTCTCACTTTGCAATGTACAGCTTGTTCTTAACAGGGCTGACAAAGTTATCAGCGATAATTTTGTGCTTTCTTCTCATCAAGATTTACAGCACTAATGAGAAGATCCCAAAGGTCCATACTCTGATGCTATGAGCAGACTCACGGACTGAGGAAAGGGGAGCAAAATGTCACACTTTAAATTACAGCTGCAATTCCGATGTGCCACTGTAAATCAAAAACTTGAGAAGAAAACCCACAGTGTTTAGCACCACCTATGACAAAATGCATATTGCCAAGCAAAAGACCAACCGGCTTCAGTTCCATACTTTAACCATACGTGTCTGCATACTGACCAACTGGTGTGTCCTCGGAAAGGCTGAGGAGTGCCATGTTCCCATTTGTGCTCCTGGCTCCATTATCGAAGAAATAGGGGGCATAATTTGCCTGAACTGCAATTAAAACAGAAGGCACAGAAAAACACATCATTGCTGGCAGTTACGTAGCTGTTACCCGACTCTCAGTAAACACGAGCTCCGTTGGGAATACTACGAGGGCACAACATATCCATTGCTGCAGTGCACTTTCAGGGTTCTATCTGCACGGGCACTTTCAATACACTCGCTTCTACCTGCTACTCTGTGTTCACACTGCAGCCAACGAAGAAGAAGAGCATGTAAAAAAACATCGAGGGAACCAAAGCAAGCAGCAGGACCTCTCTAAGAAGTCTCAGTCAGCTCTGGGCAAAACATTAACCCTCCTGGCAATGCCCACATGCCTCTCCCTGCACTGCACACCTGGGTCTGAAGCTCCCAGTGCCTTAGCACCTCTCCCAGTGCTCTGAACACATTCTGCCCTAACGTTATGCCTACTGCACGAGCAGTTAGCCAGAATTAAATTGTTACTTCCTTCCTGCCAGACAACAGCAGAGTTTGAGAAAAGAAAAACAATAAACAGGTTAGAAGTGTGTGAGTTCTTAACAGCCTATCTGAAACAAATTCATGTAAGCACAGAGGGCAACAACTGCACAGGGGTCAGCAGTTGGCAAGGAATGTATTTCAGGATGACATTACCACATCGTTAAAGATTACCATGGGATTTAAGGTTATGCTGTACCCTCCTATATTCTTATTTAAAGGGATAGTTGAACTCACCCAGACAAACATGCACTAAACTGAGAAATAAGGAGGGGATGAAATGCCTTACATGCTTCATCCCACTGCAGAAGGGGACAATTTCTTCTCAGTTTCAAGGATTTTAATTGTTTTTCCTCTGAAATGTCCAGGAAAGCGTCCTTCAGGCTGATGCAGTGGAGAAATGTGCAAGAGGCAGTAACAGATGCTAAGATGTTAAGCAGATGACACGTCTTAATTTCTGCAGAATTTAAAGAATCTCCTTCCTACCACATAATTAGAACATTTACTTTGCAGGGAGCTCTGGAACTCATTTCTCAGGTAAGATGTGGAGGAAGCAGTGCACCTCTCACAAGTTCAGCTGCCATGTTTGCACTGTCCAAAGTGAAAAATCAGAGAAAAGGTGAATCTGAAGGTTGCTTTCTTTCTGATGTCTCTAATTCCCTAAGCCAGCCCTCTGCTTCTAAGAATCAGGAGAGGCTTCTTTTTGTTTCAGTTATAGAAATTACAATCAACTATAAAGGAAGAAAATCTAACACAAGCAGCAAAGAGTAAACACTGTTGTTACCGGTTTAAAGGAAACAAACCACATTTATGATGGCAGAAAATACTTAAAATTGCACACTAAAAATACAGAATTGTCTTTTTTCTTCTTGTTTTCCTGTTAGTTTGAACAGTTATTAAATTCTTAAATGTATAAATTTCTGGAAACATCTTACATTCAGCAAACAATTTCTAACCAACTCATTAAAAATGTGGAAAAACTTTAAAAATAGCTTTTCTTTCTTGCTTTGGTTCTCTATACATAAAACTTGCCCGCTGTAATTAGATCTACATTTATCATACAGTAAATTATAGAGCTAAAAAGCAGCCGGGGTGGGAAGTTGATGACCAAGTTTTTGGCTGCTGGAAGGAGCTCCCCTGTGGTGATACAAAGAGTGTTAGGCTGTTTGGACGTAACCCGAGGCAAAGCACTTGTCCTTTAAGCACGCCTTCATGGTGTTTTGGTTCTGCTTTTTGACTAACAACGCGCATGAAAAAAGTGTTGGAAGAATTAACGAAAGAGTTCCCCCTTGCGGTGCTTTTAACGCACCAGGAGCGACTGCAGCTCGGTGGCCAATGATGCAAAGAAGCATGGAGCAGGAAGCAGCTCTGGATTTGGCAACGGGGGACATTTTTGGCATTTCTACGCCTTCAGATTCCACTGGACCTGCAGTATGCCTGTGGGGACTCCTTTGCCCCCTGAACGAATCAACTGTTGTGTTCCCAGAAAAGAGCACTGTGGATAGTGTCAGCAAAACTCACCATCCATAGGGGAACTTGTCAGAGAGTGGCAAAGAGAGAAAAAGCTTGGAAAGTCTCCAGCGTAGATAGGACGGGCTCATGAAGGTATGGCTCACTGGTGAGTAATAGCTATGACAGGACAGAAGCAAACCCTGGCTCAAGGAGGCACTAAATTACCGCCTGACAGAAGCTGAAAAATTTAGACCAGGGGAAACATTCCTCTGCCTTATGTCAACTCGCTCCTCTTACAGCTTCTACTGAAGAGATCACACCCATGGTGTGACCCATTGTGACTACTCTTACACAGCAATGCTGGGAAAAGCATGGCATCAAACCAATGTTTGGCTGTAGCAACACCCTGCAATGCTCAGGGGACAAGGCATTCGAATTCACAATAGAAGAATCCAGTGCTGAAAACTATGCAGGAGAGAATGCACGTACAGAAGGCAGATATCAGTTTAAGCCCCATTAGAGATTTAAGCATGTCATCATTGTTAACAATAATACTGAACCACAGATAAAATAACAAAACACACTTGCCTGGTACCCAGGAAGAAACACAAATAGCACCTGAACTTCCACTTGCTGCCTCTTCAGCCCACAGTTTTTAGCACACTTCTTTCTGCAGCCTTTTCCTAAGAAAAGGGAGGGTAAGCCCTGCAAAGCTATTAGCTGTCAGCTCATCTGGCTGCACCCCAGGGATCTCAATCCCCAGGGCCCACATCTCCAGGAAGCAAAATGTCTCACTCTGAATTTCAAGGAGGCTGAGTTCTTAATCCCCACAGAGTTTTAAAACCCAGCTGATGTGCTTCCATGCACTCACAGGTGATACAGCTGGGGAGCAGCATCCAAGCAAAACATTTTTTCAGTCAGCAAATACTCTTGCTTTAAAGCTAGCAGAAACCAGGCTGATTTTGATGGGAAGAGAAATGGCAGTAGGGGGTTTCAGGACAGCGATGTTTGTAGGAGTGGCAGAATCCCACTCTCTACGGAATAAACCCTATAGAATTAAATTTCCATTTCATAAATTAATTTTAAGTGTACTGAATGGCAAGAAACAAAATACAAGTGTCCCTCTTGGCCAGAAGCCAAGAACCCACCAGCACCCAACTCCACCCAAGCTAAGGGCAAAGCACCTGGAGATAAAAGCTGCTTTCCCATGGAGGTAGCCTTTCCACCTGGGAGCAATGCCCTCCCTGACACCTTCCTGACAGCACCCACTTGGCATCTGCTTGTGAAGTTCTCACCAAGCTGCATTTCCACCAGGCTTTAGATGCTTGCACGTGGAGTTTAAAAGTGAGAGGAAAATAAAATTAAAGAAAATAAGTGATTACGCTCCACTGCTCTGCTTTTCTTTATATTAATTGTGCACAGTCTTCATATTTTATGCCTGCCTCCATTTGAGCTAAAGCCTCCTTTGTTTTAGTCTCCAGACAGTTTTGCTAAGTAATGAAATTCCCATTTGTGCCATAACTGCTCCAGCTCCTCTTTTTCCTATGCTCATCCTCCTACGCTGGTTGCATACACCATTAAGTGCTACCTCAGGGCAGAACATTCTGCATTTGTTATATGTACATGTGCGTAAATAAATTTAACACTACCAGTACTGCACACTTTATATAAACCTCAGCGTGTGAAGAAAGAGCCCAAATTACTCTTGCTTTCCCTCTCTAAATCAGCTGCAAAGAGGAGCAGTGGGAGCAATCAGCCATTTCTGGAGGCATTTTGCAGAGAACGATTCACTCAGAATTGCTTGGTTCAACAGCCACAAAGGAGAGAAATGGAGGCTAAGCCATTTTCCAGACCCTTCTTGAAATTCTCCCTATTTTCGAGTATTCAGGTGCAACTTGGGAGTGCTTATTTACCACTGAAGGCAAAGGAAGGGGAGAAGGGTGGTCCACCGACATGCAGCAGTAATGTGGACACTCCGACAGCCCCAAACCTGGCACAGCTGCAACCACAGCCACATAGTTTCTACACCTCAAAATCAACCCCCAAAGGACAGAGAAATGACTCAGACTGCGGTACATCATCACTCTCCACAACACCCGTAACACAAGGGTAAAAACAATGGTGGTGAAAAAACTAGCAACAAGCAATGACGTCTATTTCAGACAACTGTTTTTAGTCGTGATATTTCCATGTATCACCTTGAATCTGCCTACCACAGCACCAAAGCTTTTGGCTGCTGAGGGAATCTATGAGAAGCTCACTGGAATCCTTAGCACTGGACCCTGAGCAGTCTGATGGCAGTAGACCAAAGCTTCAAGTTCCTTTAGGTCCCCTCCACCATCCATCATCGTCAGTTTTCTTCCCAGCTGTAAGGTACTCACAGTACCATTTCATAATAACAACAGCAAAAAAAAAACAGCCGTGTGATAATAAGAGTTAGATCTAATCAGAGATATGTGCTTGAGACAGTGGCAACTCGATACTTCCCTGTTACCGGAACAAATAAATCACTTCCTCTATGAAGTTTATGTACCTCTCCACACTTGTTCCCGTCACTGGAAATATGTAAAATTGTTAAAAACAATAGGGAATTTCATGATAGTTTTGGAGCCAATAAACATCTCCTTCTTCTCACAATGTTCCTGCTTTATTATGAATTGAATGAGCTTAATGCTTTTATGTCTGAAATAAATGCTTATCTCACAGTTACACCATTACACATGGGGGTCTAAGTTCAGTTTTCACCTCTGCCACAGTTTATGAATAATCAGCCTAAGTTTGTTAAACTCATATTGAAGTCATCAAAAGATAGCAACCGATTTTCATGAGCGATCTTAGCCAAACTTACAAATCTTCTGCAGCTCATAGAATAGAAGGATAAACAAAAGAGGGGGAAAATAACATTACCAGTGTGTTCTACAGAAAGCCTTACTGTACTATTTGTTTTGAGTTTAAAGAACAAACAGCATGAGTCTATACTCAGCTGTCTACACTCCTTTTTATATTACAATTTCACTGAACAGCTGTGCTAAACATCAGTAGTACACAGAGTGGGAAAACCCTTGACAAAACTGGTAACTCAACTAATGCAAGAAGATGCCAATTCCCCTCAAAAGACACAAGAATAGCATTCTTCATCCTTGAGAAGAAAATGATAGATTTAGAGAAACAACTACAAGCACCTTACAACAAGCATTATGTCAATTTGATCCTTCTTGAGGCGTCCTATTTTGGACAACAAAATGAAAGCACTCAGAAGGGCTGATTACTTTTGAAGTCCTTGCACAAAGTTTGGGGGAAAAAAAAAACAAAACAACAAACCACTAATTAAACTTGCACATAAATTGCAGTTTCCTTGTGAAAGAAGCAGTACATTCACTTGTTTAACAAGGAAGTTGAACTAGATCATGAGTGTCCAACCTTTTGGATTGCCTCAGCTGCACTGAGTGAAGAATTGCCTTAGGCCACATTTTGAATGTATAATATAGTTACATATACAAGTAACAAAACTTTTTTTAATACATTTTTTGTTAAAACATAAAAAAGGAGGACAACAAAACCATAAAATGACTGAGATATATGACCTTGTCTTTTTAAAGCTAATACATCAATGTCTGGTTCAATGACAGTGGCTGCAATTCTCAGTGAGCTCTCAAGGTGTACATCAGAGATTTTGGATGAAACTTTTCCTTTCTTCACCCTTGAAAAGAACTGTTCAAACGTACAGATCACCAAAAACCTGTGGCATGAACAAAGTGTTCTAATGCAATGGAAGGTATAGTGGTGACAGCAGAGCAGCAAGGTCCCAGGCTACAGCAAGCAAGGACTTGCTCAAATGCAACAACTATGGATACAGACATAGATTAAAAAAGCTGCTTACCTTTGGAAGGCTTCAGATAGGCAGGGATCTCCGCTGGGATACCCTTCCTTCTACTGTCAGCCCTTAAATGAGGTCTGGGAAGGGGTGGATCCTGGCTCCAGTCCCCCCCCCCAATCACTCAGTGGCATTGTGTGCACCTGAGCTCCCCTGGGTTGACCCTGCCTTCCCGCCAGGTGCTCCATCATTGGTTCAGGTCACAACCTTGCATTTCTGCTACAGGTGTGATTGTGAAGAAAGGTTATTTCTCTCTGGTAAGAGAGGGCTTGTAAAAGTCTGTTAGTATAATAAATTAATAAAAGGAAAATACTTCTGATATGTATAATTGAAAAACAAACAAAGAAAACTCCCAAAGCTGGAAGTCTACCTACAATTAAACCTCTACTTGTGTTCAGTGCTACTGAAAAGGCAGAAGGAAGCAAAAAGTTTTGTTTCAGTAACTGCCAGCAACACGTTCTTGTGAGGTTACGTTCCAGAACCCAGAGGAACAACTT